ACTCTGCAACCCTCATTCCGTAGTAATGCCAATTTAAATGGCTCAGATCCCTTAGGAATGGAGGTTTGGGTTACCTGACTATAGAAAGAACCACAACCAGCCTAGGTGTTTGATGAGGGCAAAGGAAATAGGAGGGACAGTGCAAGAATATAGTTGTGAGTACCAGTGATGACGACATGACCAGTTATTAAAGCAAAAGCTAAAGGCATTTCTTTATTACTTCATTGTGAATATTTACTATACATATATTAACCAACTATTTACATTTCCTTCTCCTCTGCTATCTCTTATATAAGCATATAAGCATAAAAGTATAAATATATATATAAAATATTAAGCTTCACAGTCCAGAATAAGAGCTATACAGCAAAGTGGATGGGTGAGAAGGAAATTATGCAACAATGCAAGAATATTTTTTTCCAAGAGAAAGGTAAGACAAACTGTGGGTGGGGTGAGTAGGGAGGAAAATGTGCAACAATGAATGAATGGAAATCCAAGTTCTTTATAAACTTTCTTTAAAATCTTAATTAAAAGCAAAAAAAAAAATTAAATCTCCCAAGCTTAGCTTCCTATCTCAGCATTGAAGTAAGAGGATAGAAAAGGAGAAGTATGAATCAGATAGAAGAATGAGTTTAACCTGAAAAAGAAACAGATTTTATATTATGTTTTGAGGAGAAGTTAGGAGTTTGTTTCTGCCTTTTGTTTTTAAATTATCTTGTTTAGGGAAAAAGTTAGCCTGTTTTTTGACGTGGATCTTTACTATCTTTATTTGGCGTTTAAGTATGGTTTACTGAAACGTACACGTTCCAAGCTGACATCTAACACCACCACAGTTGTAATGTATATAAAAGCAAGCCAAAGACATGCCCTAAGTAGGCTTGGCAGTTTTAAACTTATGGATAGAGCTGATAGAATGAGGCTGAAAACATGTAACCAGCCACACTTTATTCAATTCTCACATAAACACTGACACTTAGAGTTAAATCTTCATGATGGTGCATGACTCAAGAAATAGCAATCTATATTGGTCCTCAGTTGCCACCCTATCACCTTTCCTTGTGCTTTACATCCTAAATATTGCTCCCTAAACATGCATGCATTCGAGATTATTTACTACTTTTAAAGCACTCAGAACTGAATGCATTTCCAAAGCATCATTTGACCAATATGAAAGAGCTCAGATGGATAATTTCTCTTTTTCCAAGTGCAGTCTTGAATTGCATATTTTTTTTACTGCCACATCACACTTTTAAATTCAAAGTTGACTTCCCCTTCACTTTCCCCCATGATCTTCTTGATTTTTTGGATCCAGTCAAGATGTCCACACTTAAACATTCATATGCTCCCTTCTTTTCTCATTAATGTCCACTTTTCTCTGTTCATTTCCATGATTATGTTTTTCATCATCTATCTTGTGTCTCTCTTCCTCACTCAGGAAACTTTAATAATTCTTCATTCTGGGTTGTTACCCACAGGTGACTCTACCTTCTTCCAGGCTTTCCTTAGAGACGGACCAATTATTATCTCCTGACTTAAGAAGTTGGGAGATAACCTGACAATACTATGAGGTAACAGACTTTCTAGTAAAGGTCTCCATGACATTCTAACCCCCAATATTATCTTCCCTGTAACTGCTTCTTCAAAGACTTGTGGACAGCAAAATAAAAAAGAAAAATATTTGAGTGGATGGTTCCACACTGACACTGACTATTTATTCATCATCAAAACAAGGCTTTTAGAGAAACTCATCAGTCTTCCTTCTTTCAACTTAGACATCTTTGTGTGTGTGTGTGTGTTTAAATTAATTTTAATGAACATTTACAGAGGTTT